GGGAGGGGTAGGGCAGTGTACAAACCAACAAGCATCTGTAAAGAGACTACAAGGTGGCAGTAATTTTTGAGGGGTGTGGCGCATAAAAGGGCGCGGTTAGACGTGTGCAGAATGGCTTAAAAGTTTGGCAGCGATGGGGCCAGACTGGGACCGTCCTCTGATTACCTTGCCCTGTGCCCTGTCCCTCTGGCAGACCCTGGTGCGGTGGTAGAGGCTCAGACGTCGGTTCCCTATGCCATTGTGGGCGGCATCCTGGCGCTGCTGGTGTTTCTGATCATATGTGTGCTAGTGGGCATGGTCTGGTGCTCGGTACGGCAGAAGGGTGAGTGGGGCGGGGCCTGGACTCTGCGGTTGGTTGGTTGTGGGGCTCGGAAAGAGGCGGGGCCTAGGGCCAGGGTAACGAGAGGGCGGAGCCTAGGCGCTGGATTCCAAATCCCCCTGCACCTGGGGCCAAGATGACAAAGGGAGAGGGGCTTTCGGCACAATACTCCGAAAAGGGGTAGAATTTAGAAGCTGAATTAGGCCGGGCGCGGTGGCTCAAGCCTGTAATCCCAGCACTTTGGGAGGCCGAGACGGGCGAATCACGAGGTCAGGAGATCGAGACCATCCTGGCTAACACGGTGAAACCCCGTCTCTACTAAAAAATACAAAAACTAGCCGGGCGAGGTGGCGGGCGCCTGTAGTCCCAGCTACTCGGGAGGCTGAGGCAGGAGAATGGCGTAAACCCGGGAGGCGGAGCTTGCAGTGAGCTGAGATCCGGCCCCTGTACTCCAGCCTGGACGACAGAGCCAGACTCCGTCTCAAAAAAAAAAAAAAAAAAAAGAAGCTGAATTAAAAGCATAGATTTGTGGGTGGGCGCGGTGGCTCACGCTTGTAATCCCAGCACTTTGGGAGGCCAAGGTGGGTAAAGCACTTGAGAGACCAGGAGTTCGAGACCAGCCTGGGCACCATGGCGAAGCCCCTTTTCTACTAAAAATACAAAAAAGTAGGGGGAAAAAAAAGAGCATGGATTTGAATAAAGCAATTTATTTTCCTAATTGCTGAATTCGCTGGGAGCAGAGCAAGGAAATACCTCCAAGAGAAGGGATAAGGGTGGCACTTTTGGTGAGCTTTTGGAGTCTTCCTAATTCTGTTGTTACCTCTTTCTCTGCCTCTCCCTGTGTATTCGGTTCGGTTTCTCCCTCTTCCTTCGTCTGGCATCTGCCTTGTCTGTCTCCCTCTTCCCCTATATTTCTGTCCAACTCCTGGGTCCACAAATATGTCCTCCCTGCCCTGGGGGTCTGTCACCCCCTCAGGTTCCTATCTGACCCACGAAGCCAGTGGCTTGGATGAACAGGGAGAAGCAAGAGAAGCCTTCCTCAACGGCAGCGACGGACACAAGAGGAAAGAGGAATTCTTCATCTGACCCTATCCCCACCCCAGGCCTAGGCCTGGGCTGGGGTCCCCCCCACTGCCAGCTGCAAGGAACCAGCAAAGACATTTACCAGAGTCTGGGATGGTGGGCTTCTCCCCCCACCACTAACACCTCAGACGCTTGGGCAGGGATGGGGGTGTTGGATGCCTGGTCTCTGCAAGGGCCAGAAGTGAGGGCCCAGAGGTCTGGGTCCCCCAGAGGGCAGGGGCCAAAGGTCCAGATCCCCCAAGTCCAGGGAGGGCAGCAGGGATTGGGTTGGGGGAAGATAACTGGGGGAAGGCCAGGGCCCCTAGGCTACAAAACCAGGTCTTGTGGGGAGGGGGTCAGTTTCTGGGAAGGGTGGGGTGGGTAGGGAAGGGGAACACAGATTTCTTTGGGGGTCCTAGACCCCATGCCAGCCATTGTAAGAGTTCCACAGAGCTCTGGGCACCTCTTTGCAAAGCCATGTTTGCACGGTGGGGGGATGGGTGGGGGGAGGGCGTGGAAATAGGGATTCTGTGTCTTTGTGTCATAACTTTGATGGGGGCAGTGAGGGAGACAGCCCCAACCCTTTTCTCCAATCCCCCTTCCCCAGGTTCCTGGGCTCCCCTTCTCTCTACCTTCTCCCCAACGTCTGTCCCATCCATATTTGTCTCTCTGTCCACCCACTCCTGGGGGGGCCTTCCCCATCTCTCCTCCAGGCCCCCCGGGGAGGGGGAAAGGAGTATGGGGAGGATTCGTGGTCTTTATGGTTTTATATATAATATATTAAAAAATCAAAAGTCTGTATGAAAAATATCAGATTGCACCCCCCTCTCCCCATTCCTGGCTTTTGCCCCCTTTTTCTTGTTAAAAAAACAAAAAACAAAAAAACAAAAAACCACACACACATTTTGTATGGGGCAGGGAGGGGAATGGGGAGGGGGTTTGGCAATCTCACTAACCACCATTAAACTGAGGAGAGAACAAGTGTTTGGGGTGGCCGTGTGTCTGTCCTGCTGTCAAGGGTTGTACCATTGGGAGAAGAACTAAGGGAGAGGGGAGGGGGGAGTGTGATGGTTGCTGGTGGACAGTATAGGCCAGGAGAAGGTCCTGACCTCATTGAGGGTATCTCGACCTCCCAAGAAACCTGGGTTTGGCCACTTCTTCAGCCAAATAGTCATGGAGTCTTGTCTTTTTGATAGCAACTGAGCTACCCCATTCCATGGCCCGGACCCTTACCCTGGCTTCCCCATACCCCAGACATTTGTCTCCAAGGGAACTTTGAATTAAAGTTAAGCTCTCAAAACCTTTGCCTAGCTCCCTATCACCTCTAGACCAAGTCAAAGCTCTTTAGTCTGGCATCCCAGGCCTCTCATTCATTCATGTACCTTTTAGATGTATTATTCTAACTTTAAAAAATAACCTCTTACGACGTGCCAGGTGCTGCTCAAAGTTCTGGAGTCCATGGTGAATAAAACAGGCAAATGTTAGGTGTTAAAGACAGCTCTGCACTAATCTGAAATCTGATCCTGCTCTAAGCACTGAGAACCCAAAGTGAAAAAGGGCGAGTGCATTCTTACCCTCATGAAGCTTTCATGAGGAAAACACTTAAAACAAGGAAGCAAAGAAAGTTCAGATTGTGATAGGAACTATTAATATACATGCAGAGTATGGTAATGTGGTATGCCATTGTCATTATGGAAAACTTCAAACCCACAGGAGTAGATGGGGCAATAAAGTCCCATGTACTTTTTTTTTTGTGTGAGATGAAGTCTCACTCTGTCGCCCAGGCTGGAGTGCAGTGGCGAGATCTCGGCTCACTGCAAGCTCTGCCTCCCGCGTTCACGCCATTCTCCTGCCTCAGCCTCCCAAATAGCTGGGACGACAGGCGCCTGCCACCACCATACCCGACTAATTTTTTTTTTTTTTTGTATGTTTAATAGAGATGGGTTTTCACCTTGTTAGCCAGGATGGTCTCAATCTCCTGACCTCGTGACCCGCCCGCCCCAGCCTCCCGAAGTGCTGGGATTACAGGCGTGAGCCACCACGCCCAGACTTTTTTTTTTTTTTTTGAGATGAGTCTCGCTGGGTGGCCCAGGCTGGAGTGCAGTGGCTCAATCTCGACTCTGCCTCCAGGGTTCAAGTGATCCTCATGCCTCAGCCTCCCAAGTAGCAGGGATTACAGGCAACCCCCCATCACCTCTGGCTAATTTTTGTACTTTTAATAGAGGCAGGTTTCACCATGTTGCCCAGACTGGTCTCAAGCTCCTGACCTCAGGTGATCCACCCGCCTCGGCCTCCCAAAGTGTTGGGATTAGGGGCATGAGCCACCGCGCCCAGCCCCATGTACTCTTCATGGCAGTTACAACCACCACGGACTCATGGCCAATCCCAATTTATCCGTAACTCCAGTCATATGTGTAAGCGCTATTATGGAGAGATCAGGAAAAGCCTCTCAAATTGACATCTGTACCAAGATATGAATGGTGAGCACAAGAGCAGGTATTCAAAGGTCAGAGGGAAAAGCATTTTCAGGCGGAGGGAACGGCAAGAGCAAAGGCCCGAGATGGCAAAGAGAGTTTGGCATAAGGTGGAGCTGGACAGGAGTGGAGGGAGGAGGAAGTAGGTGGGGTCAGAAAGATAAGCACGGCCAGACCAGCTGTATAGCCCTGAGGCCATGATAAAGATTTTTGGACTTTTTTTCCTAATGGGATTCCTTTGGGGAGTTTAAGCCGGAATGTGACACTTCCAGGAAGACTGGAATGTAGTCATAGATCAACTCTAACATGGTCTATAAGACCATTTCCCCTCTCCAGTTCGGTTCTAGGCATACTATGCTGCTCTTGCTTCCTCAATCAAACCATGTGCTTTTTTTTTTTTTTGGCCTCTGGGCCTTGGCGCTTGTTCACTCTGCCAGATCCATTCCCATTCTAGCTGGCTCCTATTCGTACTTGGCTTAAGGATCACCACCTCCTGGAAGCCTTTCTAGAACCATAGGCCGGGGCAGGCGCCTCTTAGGCTCCCATAGTCCCCTGTGTTCCTCACTCCAGGTCTGACCTTCTGGGTAGTAGTTGTCTAATTAGGTGTGTATCTCCTCGACTGGGGCGCCGTGAGTACAGGAGTATGGTTCACTGCAGAAACCATAGAATCTGCCAGCATAGGGTCTGACACCTAGGAGATCAATAAACATTTATCCTGGCTGGGAGGGGTCCTGACCCTCGTGCCCCTCTCAGGATGCAAACTGATCCCCAACGAAAGCAAGGTTACCCACTTCGCGTTAGTCTGCAGTCCCTGCGCGCATGCGCTTTGCTCAGGTTGCCCCGCCATATGCTAATCACTGCGCTCAGGAGTAAGGCCTCCTCGGGGAATATGCAAATCACTCCTTCCAGTTCTGGAGGCCTTTCATTGTCCCGCGCTAGGATTATGCAAATAAGCAGGCCTCGGGCCCAGGATCCAGTCCGAACTAGCGCCCTCCACCCCCAGCGCATCTCATTTTTATAAGTAGCGTTCCTGCCCCCCACACGCACGCGCGAACCCTTCAGCTTGTTGTTCCTTCGGGCCGCGGACTGTACCAAGTAAACCCAGGCAGCGAGGGGCAAAGCACGGCGCCCCCCGCGCGGGTCTCGTCGACGGCCCGACGCTCATAGCCCCTCTTCACACAGAGCTACAGGACTAGTCCGTCTCACCGCGCAAGCGCCCTAGGCTCTTCACGCCCCCTGCGCGCTCTCCTACCCTGCTTGCGACGCAGGCGCAGAGGCTGGGCGTGCAGCTGCCGCCGCAGAGCCGGAGCGGGGGCCGCCGGCGCCGGTGAGTGTCCCGGGCAGGGGTGCGCGGGGCATGCCGGGAAGCGGGCGCTACGGCCCCGCTGCATGATGGGAACGACGACTCCCGTCGCCGGGGAGCCGGCGGTCTGGGGCCATGGTGACCCGAGGGCTTCCTTTTCTCCCCCTACGCGGCTGTGCCGCCCTGGGGCATCCTGGGAGAACCGAGCGCTCCGCCTTGAAGCGCTGTGGGAGTCGGTCCGCTAGTCGTTGTAGGCCTGGTGCATCCTGGGAAAGAGTGTCCCAGATCCTCGTCGAGACCGGTTCCTTTTATCCCACACCTGCCACTGACCGTCTTGGAGGCTTGGAGCGCTTCCACACAGGGAGTCCGGGAAGGTGGTCGCTATAGGCCCAAGGCATCCTGGGAAAAACTGCCACAAGGAATTGTGGGAACTGGCCCTTATTGTCCCGTAGTGGAAGGTTTTGCCCTCGTCTCATTGCTCGAGCATTGGAACGGGTTCCTATTGTGTTCACGCGGGGCATCTTGGGAATTGGCTGCTACAGACCCAGGGCATTGTGGGGTCTCCAGCACTGTGTTTGCCTTTCAGTTTGGCTGCCATAGGCGTGGTAGGAGTGGGCTTGTGAACCAAGGGATGGCCCTACCTGACGTCTGGAATACTCAGGAAGGGGCCTTGTGTTATGTGGGCTTGGAAAAGTGTAGGCTGATGGGCATTGTCTTCTGGTAACTTCATGGGACGGTCTTGATTGCCCCAGGTGTATGGTTGCCATATAAAATATACAATGTCTAGTTAAATTTGAATTTCAGATAAACAATTATATCCAAAAGATACAACCTTTTAGAAAAGTATGTTTCAAATATCACATGGAACATAGCTATATTAAATAACTGTTTAGGCCAGTTGCAGTGGCTTATGCCTGTGATACTAACGCTTTGGGAGGCTGAGGCAGGAGGATCACTTGAGACCAGGAGTTCAAGACCAGCCTGGGCAACATAGCGAGACCCCCGTCTCTACAAAAAAAAAGTAAAAATTAAGCCTGGCGTGGTGGCGCACACGTGTAGTCCCAGCTCCTCTGCTATGGGTGAGTAGGGTACCATGAGCATAGGAGTTTGAGGTTACAGTGAGCTAACCTTCCAACCTGGTTATGGGAATTACATGAGTTAAGACCTGGAAGCCCCTTTCCTACAGACCACCCTACTGCAGTCCAGCCTGGGCAACTGAGCGAGACCCTGTCTCTTAAAAAATATAAATAAGTAGGCTGGGCACGGTGGCTCACGCCTGTAATCCCAGTACTTTAGGAGGCCGAGGCGGGCGGATCATGAGGTCAGGAGATTGAGACCATCCTGGCTAACACGGTGAAACCCCGTCTATACTAAAAATACAAAAAATAGCCGCCGCAGCTACTCGGAAGGCTGAGGCAGCAGAATGGCCTGAAGCCAGGAGGCGGAGCTTGCGCCACCGCCTTCCAGCCCGGGCGACAGAGTGAGAGTCCACCTCAAAAAAAAAAAAAAAAAAAAAAAAAAAAGCAGGGCGTGGTGATGGCTGCCTGTAATCCTAGCTACTAGGGAGGCTGAGGCAGGGGGGAGGTTGCAGTGAGATCGTGCTACTGTACTCCAGCCTGGGCAAAAAAGTGAGACTCCATCTCCAAAAAAAAAAAGAAGGAGGAGGAGGACTTTCTTGACAGCAACAGTGGGTGTACTAAGACGCACAGACGGGAAAAGGCCTTGTGTGCACAGGGAGAGGTGAGAGGTCGGGAATGTCTGGAGTTTACAGAGGGGTGGGGGTGGGAGTAGTAATGGCCACGTGGTCTGGATGGAATACCCGCCACACACCAGCAATTTCTATCAGTGAGCCTACTGAATCTTCAGAAAAACCTTTTGAGCTGAGAAATCATTTTATGAAAGGTGTGGCTTCCAATCCTAGTTCATCCACTTACCAGATGGTGACCTTGGGCTATTCACTTACCACCTGTGTGTCTGTTTTCTCATCTGTACAAAGGAGGTAATTCCAACCTAGTTATGGGGAGTACGTGAGTTAAGGCCTGGAAGCCCCTTTCTTACAGAGAAGGAAACAGGCTGGAGAAGTTAAGTTCTTCGCTTGGTGCTACACAGCTAGAGCTTGGCAAACCTAGACACTATCTTGCCAATGGATACAGAACTAAGGCTGATAGTCACAAACTAGTACAGCCATACCAATTGTTTAAATATTAAAATACTTTCAGATGGGTTGGTGTGTCACTGCTCACAAGTACTCGCTGTCCCTAACTGCCACTTTGGACCCTCCCTGTGGTATTATATATATAAATATGTTGGTTTTTATCCACAGTTCCTGGCTGCTAACTCCTATAGCCTTTGTTTGTGGTCTCTTGTTATAATGTTGTGTACCTTAGGCCTGGGGCAGGTCTCAAGAAACAATCTCTCTGACCTCCTCCTTCCCTCCATTTCCTGCCCCAGGGCAAGACTCTAATCTTCCCCACCTTCCTGATTGTTGGTCTTAAGACATTTTCAGAGAATTCCATGCCTAATGCTGCTGTCTTTTTTTGAGACGGAGTCTCACGCTGTTGCCCAGGCTGGAGTGCAGTGGCGCGATCTCGGCTCACTGCAAGCTCCGCCTCCCGGGTTCCCGCCATTCTCCTGCCTCAGCCTCCTGAGTAGCTGGGACTACAGGCGCCCGCCACCGCGCCCGGCTAATTTTTTGTATTTTTAGTAGAGACGGGGTTTCACTGTGGTCTCGATCTCCTGACCTTGTGATCCTCCCGCCTCGGCCTCCCAAAGTGCTGGGATTACAGGCTTGAGCCACCGCGCCCGGCCAATGCTGCTGTCTTAAAGCCTCTGTAAAAACCCTAGAGGACTGGGTTTGGAGAGCTTCCACATAGCTGACCACATGAGGGTTCCTGTAGGGTGGCACCCCAGGGAGGGTGTGAAGCTCCCTGCCCCTTCCCTTATACCTTGCCCTACACATCTCTTCATCTTTCTTCTTTGCAATAATAAACCAGAAAATCTAAATAAGCATTTCCTTGAGTTCTGTGAGCAGCTCCAGCAATTTTTTTTTTTGTAAGAGGGGTTATCCAGGCTTAAGTGCAGTGGCAAGGTCACGGCTCACTGCAGCCTTGACCTTCCAGGCTCAAGTGATCCTCCTGCCTCAGCCTCTCAGGTAACTGGGACTGTAAGCATATGCCACCACTCCGGCTAACTTTTTTTTTTTTTTTTTTTTTTTTGAGACAGAGTCTCGCTCTGTCACCCAGGCTGGAGTGCAGTGGCCGGATCTCAGCTCACTGCAAGCTCCGCCTCCCGGGTTCACGCCATTCTCCTGCCTCAGCCTCCCGAGTAGCTGGGACTACAGGCGCCTGCCACCTCGCCCGGCTAAGTTTTTGTATTTTTAGTAGAGACGGGGTTTCACTGTGTTACCCAGGATGGTCTCGATCTCCTGACCTCGTGATCCGCCCGTCTCGGCCTCCCAAAGTGCTGGGATTACAGGCTTGAGCCACTGCGCCCGGCCCGGCTAACTTTTGTAATTTTTTTTTTTTTTTTTTTTTTTTTTTGGTAGAAACAAGGTTTGCCATGTTGCCCAGGCTGGTCTCAAACTCTTGAGCTCAGGTGATCTGCCTGCCTCGGCCTCCCAAAGTGCCAGGATTACAGGCGTGGGCCACCGCACCCAGCCTTATTTTCTTTAAAAAGTCGGGTGTGGTGGCTCACGCCTGTAATCCCAGCACTTTGGAGGGCTGAAGCGGGTGGATTGCTTGAGCTCTGGGGCACCATGGTGAAACCCTGTCTCTACCAAAAATACAAAAATTAGCTGGGCGTGTGGATAGCGTTGGAATGGAATTGGAGGGGACACCTAGCCTGTGTCTGCTGTGCAGTGTGTGGGGAAAAAGCCCCACACATTTGGTCACAAAATTCTGTGTTGATGATTGTTATGGTGGTAGTGTGAGAGTAGAGGAAAAACATAGTTTGAGGGTTTTTTCCCCCATAACACTCCCCCAACCCCAGACCTCCCCATGGTCCAGCAACTAAAGGGTTAATGCCTGGCATCCGTCCCTGCTCCACTCTCAGTTCTGATTGGTGCCCACACCAGTCTCCACTATTGAATATTTGGAGTGTCACCTCTCCCTGTCCCACTGAATAAGAACCAGAAGGCAGCCTTGTTGCCCACATGGGGAAATTAAGACCTAGAGAGGGGGCCAGGTGCTGTGGCTCACGCCTGTAATCCCAGCACTTTTCGAGGTTGAGGTGTGTGGATCACCTGAGGTCAGGAGTTCAAGCCCAGCCTGGCCAACATGGTGAAACCCCATCTCTACTAGAAATACAAAATTAGCTGGGCGTGAGGACACACGCCTGTAGTTGCAGCTACTTGGGAAGCTGAGGTAGGAGAATTGCTTGAGCCTGGGAGGTGAAGGTTGTAGTGAGCTGAGATCGCGCCACTGCACTCCAGCCTGGGCAACAGAGCGAGACTCTGCCTAACTGAAAAAAAAGACCTAGAGAGGGGCAGGGCTTGTAGTCAATTCCCTGTAGACAGTCAGGGACACAGCTGGGGTCCTCTGTGCCCCACCCCAGCAATGAGCACACAGTTGGGCTCAGGGTGGGGATGGGTGCTATGTAAAAATTTATTGAATCATCACAGGCCTTTCCTTTCCCCCTATCCAGCATCCCTCTCTACCTGCCAACATCCTGTATTAGAGAACTTGTGGCCGAGGTGTGGCTGTGGAGAGCTGGCCGGGGAGGGACGCTGCTCAGCTGCTGCTCTGCTCCTGTCTCCTGTCCCCTCTCCCGGCCATGACAGAGACCCGTGAGCCAGCTGAGACTGGGGGCTATGCCAGCTTGGAAGAAGACGACGAAGACCTTTCCCCAGGTAAGGTGGCCTTAGAGGTGGTGGCGTTGGCTTGACTGTCATCCTTGCTTAGGGTTTGGCCTCCATTGGGAAATGTTGATGGGCAGTGGCTGCTTGTCTTGCTAGGGGTTCTATTCTGACTGAGACTCCTTGTCCTGGTAGGGGATCTCTTCCAGTCGGGACTTCTGGGGACTGTAGATTGACTGGGGTCTCTCTCCTTGCTGGAGGTTCTAGATTGGCTATGATTTCCTTCCTTGCTGGGGGTTCTAGATCGGCTGTGAGCTTTCTCCTTGCTGGAGGCTCTAGGTTGTCTGTAACCACTCTGCCTACTGGGGCTTCTAGATCGGCTGTGATCTCTCTCCTCGCTGGGGCTTCTGGATTGTCTGTGTTCTTTCTCCTCGCTGGGGCTTCTAGATTGTCTGCGCTCTCTCTCCTTGCTGGGGCTTCTCCATCGTCTGTGATCTCTCTCTTTGCTGGGGCTTCTGGATTGTCTGTGTTCTTTCTCCTCGCTGGGGCTTCTAGATTGTCTGCGCTCTCTCTCTTTGCTGGGGCTTCTCCATCGTCTGCAATCTCTCTCTTTGCTGGGGCTTCTGGATTGTCTGTGCTCTTTCTCCTTGCTGGGGCTTCTAGATTGGCTGTGATCTCTCTCCTTGTTGAGGCTTCCAAGTCGGCCGTGATATTTCTCCTTGCTGGGGCTTCTAGATCGTCTGTGATCCCTCTCCTTGCTGGGGCTTCTAGATCGGCTGCGATCTCTCTCTTTGCTGGGGCTTCCAAGTTGGCTGTGATCTCTCTCCTTGCTGGGGCTTCTGGATCGGCTATGATCTCTCGCCTTGTTGGGACTTCTAGATCGGCTGTGATCTCTCTCCTTCTTGGGACTTCTAGATGGGCTGCGATCTCTTTGCTTGTTGGGGCTTCCAGATTGACTGTGACCGTTCTCCTTCCTGGGGCTGCTAGATCCTCTGCGATCTCTGTCTTTGCTGAAGCTTCTAGAATGGCTATGACTTCTTTCCTCGCTGGGGTTTCTAGACCAGTTGTGACTTCTTCCTCTTCTGGGGGTTCTAGGTTGGTTTTGACTTTTCCCCTTGCTGTGGGTTCTAGACTGGCTATGTCTTCCCGTCTGGCTCAGAATTCCCTTCCGGGTACGACTTCTTGCCCTGCTGTGGTTTCTCTTCCAACTGTGACTTCTCGTCCTGCTGTGCGTCCTCTTCTGACTGCCACTTCTTGACCTTCTGGGGCTTCTAGATTGACTGTGACTTTGCGGCCTGCTGTGGGTACTGGCCTGGTTATAACTCTTGACCCTGCTGGACGTTTCAGTGGGGCTGTAACTCTTTTCCCTACTGGGGATGATCATCTGACCGTAGCTCTTCACCTTCCTTGATGACGATGGAGATGGGCTGTCACTCTTCTCCTTGGAGGGAATTCCAGTCAGGGTTTGACACTTGGCTGTACTGGGAGTTACAGCCAGCTCGGAACTCCTCCCCATACCTGAGCCTCCTGGTGGGCGGTAACTCTTCTTGCTCATATTTCTAGGCTGGCTGTCACTTCTTTCCCTGTTGCTGGTTCTAGGCCGGCCGTAACTCTTTCCCCGGCTCCGTTTTTGCTGTGAAGTGGGAGTTCTCACCCTGCTGGCCATGGCTGGTCTGGCACCATGAGTTCTTATCCTGCCAGGAGTGCTGGCCCTGCTGGGTGACCTCTTGGAGCTTCGGCTTCCCCTTCTGCCAGGTGTCCTACCCCGGCTGTGTGTGCCCTTCCGCTGGTGGCATCTCACGCCGCTGGCCTTGCTGGCTTTGCTGGCTTTGCTGGCTTTGCTGGTCCTGGTGTCGGTGCTCACCCTGCTGGGTGTTCTTGCCTTGCTGTGGACTCGGGACCTGCTGCTGGGCAGGTTAGAAGGGGCTCTTTTTGTACTGGTCGATTTGGTGGACTTGGAACTGCTTGGGCTCACGACCAAGTTGGGGGATGTCGCTGGCTTGGTGGGCACTAAAGATCTGTTGGGCGTTGCTGATTTGGTGGACTTCAAGGAGGCAGGAGGCTTGGGATCCGCAGTGGGCATGGAGGATCCACTGGGTGCCGGGGACATACTGGGCTTTGAAGATCTCTTAGGTGAAGACATGGTGGGCGCAAAAGGGCTTGTGGTCCTGGAAGTCACAGTAGACATGAAACACCTGGTAGCCGTGGACGATGACCTGATTGCCTGTCATAGGCCAACTGTGTGAAGTCACAGTGGGCACTGAAGACTCTGCAGGGTGAGTGGTATGAAGTCAGAGGTGGGAGGAGAGGGCAGGTGTCCCACCCAGCCTGAGGCTGGAGATATTTCCTCTGGTTTGCAGCCATTTAGCAGATGTCTTCTGAGGCTGACTCATGCCCAGCATTGCTGGGGACAGAGAGATGGGGCAGACCCAGGTCCTGCCTTTGAGGAGCCCATAGTCAGTGGGTGGGGAGGGGGTCACTGCCCAGAGTGGTCAGGGTGTGATGGAGAGCGGAGCAGGGGCCGGGGAGCCCATACGAGAGAGACACTGACTGCCTGGGGAGTCAGCAAGGACTTCACAGAGGAGGTGACATGAGCTTGGAGGTGACTCCAGCCTGGGGCACAGAGCAAGACTCCGTCTCAAAAAAAAAAAAAAAAGAACGGGTCACCCAGGTGGGCAGGGAGCAGAGGCTAAGGCTTTGGGGAGGGAGATCAGGGTCTTGGGGCCACTATCATCCATTGACCCACATGTCCTCTGCTGGGGACCCCAAGATCATACCTGCCCTTGAGGATTTCCCAGTCAGATAAAGCAGATACCCTGGGGGGCAGCTGACTGCAGTCAGCTTCTAGGACAGTAACAGGAGGAGGTGCTGGGGCATCGGAGAGAGACCTGGCCGGGAGCCTGGGGCATCAGGATGGTGGCTTCACAGAGGACGGAGTTTGTGCTGGGTCTTGAAGGATGAGTTAGGGGGTCACCAGGTGGACAGAGTGGGGAATAGCCCATGCCAAGGCCTCAGGAAACGATTTTTTTTTTTTTTTTTTGAAACAGACTCTTGCTCTGTCGCCCAGGCTGGAGTGCAGTGGCACAATCTCGGCTCACTGCAAGCTCCGCCTCCCGGGTTCACGCCATTCTCCTGCCTCAGCCTCCCCAGTAGCTGGGATTACAGGCGCCCGCCACCTCGCCCGGCTAATTTTTTTCTATTTTTAGTAGAGACGGGGTCTCACGGTGTTAACCAGGATAGTCTCGTTCTCCTGACCTCGTGATCCACCCGCCTCGGCCTCCCAAAGTGCTGGGATTCCAGGCGTGAGCCACCGCGCCCGGCCAGGAAACGATTGTTAAATGGCGGGAACCAGTAGGAGAGAGCTGCAGGGGCGGATGTTCAGAAGAAAACGGTTATAACCCGTCTGGGCTGGTGATGCTGGGAACCCAGCAGGAGGGTGGTAGAAAAAATGACTGGCTGCCTGGGATGAGGAGGTCTGGGACGGCCTCACCAAAGAGGAAGGCCTCCCACTGGGTCCTAAAGGATGGTGGGAAAAACTAGGGCAGGACATTCCCACCAGAGGGAGGAACAGTGTGTGTGAAGCCTCAGAACAGGCTTTTCAAATTCCATGCACAGATATCCATGCCATAAATATGTCGTAAGTACTTTCTTTGTACAAAGGAAGTGTTCTAGATGCTAGGGCCACAGCAGTGAACCAGACAAAATCCCTGTTCTCGGGGACAGGCAATAAACAAGCACACAAGCAAATGTTGTATGCAGTGAGTCAGAAGATGGAGAAAAATGAGCCCGGCGCGGTGGCTCATACCTGTAATCCCAGCACTTTGGGAGGCTGACATGGGTGGATTACCTGAGGTCAGGAGTTTGAGACCAGCCTGGCCAAGAAGGTGAAACCCCATCTCTACTAAAAATACAAAAATTACCTGGGCGTGATGGTGCGCGCCTGTAATCCCAGTTACTTGAGAGGCTGAGGCAGAAGAATTGCCTGAACCCAGGAGGTGGAGTTCCCAATGAGCTGAGATCACACCACTGCACTCCAGCCTGGATGGCAGAGCGAGACTCCATCTCAAAAGAAGATGGAGAAAAATCAAGCAGAGTAAGGGGCATAGGGAGTGCTAGGGAGTGGCCAGGGTGTCACTGAGAAGGTGACACTTGAGAAGAGACATGGAATGGAGAGTGACATCGGCAGAAAGGATGGCAAAGACCCTGAGGCAGGTACGGGCCTGGGGTGTCAGGGAAGGTGAGGAGCCTGGTATGAAGAGCCTTGTGGCCACTGTGATGACAGGAGCAAGGGCGGAGCACAGGGTGCAGCAGCAGGATCCTCTGGGTTCTGGGAGAAACTGAGGAATGGGGCCGGGATGGATACAAGGTGAGGCTTTTGGCAGGCTCCTGCCACTGAGGCCAAAGAAGCTGGTACTTCCCACACTGTGGTCACGGGGACCCCATCTCCAGCCATTACTCTGTTTGTGCGCCCCCATAATGGCAGCTGATGTTGCCCTTTTCCATATATCAACTTTAAAATTTTTCCCCTTTTCTTTTTTTTGGAAACGGAGTCTCGCTGTCTCACCCAGGCTGGAGTGCAGTGGCTTGATACTGGCTCATCGTAACCTTCGCCTCCTCGGTTCAAGCAATTCTTCTGCCTCAGCTTCCCGAGTAGCTGGGACTGTAGGCACCCACCACCCTATACCTGGCTAATTTTTGTATTTTTAGTAGAGACTAAAAATACAAAAAATACAAGAAATAAATTGGGTTTCATGATGTTGCCCAGGGTGGGTCATGAACTCCTGAGTTCAGGCAGTCCGCCCACCTCAGCCTCCCAAAGTGCTAGGATTACAGTCCCTTTTCTTTAAACCTAAACTTGTCCTAGGCATGTCCTTGATAACTGTGAAATCACAGTAATATCTCACCTATAAATAAATATTTTAATTCACCTATGTGTGTGTGTGTATGTGTATGTATGTGTGTATATATATATATATATCTCCATGGCCACAGATATAAAAGTACATCTGTGTGTATGTATATGTTTTAATTTGCACAAATACCTTTTCAAATGGTTGTCTCCCTAAAATGATCCAGTGTCGGCCATGGCCCAGGTTCAGCTTTTCCTGCCAGAGCTGTGTAACCACAGGGGAGTAAGTCGTCTAGCCTCCCTGTGCCTCAGTTTCCACATCCATCAACTGGGGATAGTAACAGTATCGCCCTCAAAGGGTTGTTGGGGATTTAGTGAGTTAATGTATAGGAACAGGGCTTCTACAATAGCAAGGATGCTATTGTTACTGGTGGTTTTTTACTACTCCTGCTTTGTCCTTCCTAAACGCCTCCCACCCACCTCCCCATGGAGGTTTTTTTTTTTCCCCCAAGACGGAGTCTTGCTCAGTCATCCAGGCTGGAGTGCAGTGGTGCAATCTCAGCTCACTGCAACCTCCGCCTCCTGTGTTGAAGCAATTCTCCTGCCTCAGCCTCCCGAGTAGCTGGGATTACAGGCACCCGACACCACACCCAGCTAATTTTTGTATATTTAGTAGAGACAAGGTTTCACCATGTTGGCCAGGCTGGTCTTGAACTCGTGACCTCATGATCTGCCCTCCTTGGCCTCCCAGAGTGCTGGGATTACAGGCATAATCCACTATGCCCAGCCAAAAAAATTATTTTTCAGAGGTAAGGTCTCACTCTGTCACCCAGGCTGGAAGGGAGTGGCACAGTTATGGCTCAAATGCAGCCTCAAACTCCTCGGCTCAAGTGATCCTCCCGCCTCAGCCTCCTGAGAAACTGGTACTACAGGCAATGTGTCACCAGGCCTGGCTAATTTTTAAATTTTTTATAGAGACGGAGTCTTGCTATATTGCCCAGGCTGGTCTCAAACTTCTGGGCTCAAGTGATCTTCCCATCTTGGCCACCCAAAAGTGCTGGGATCACAGGCATGAGCCACCATGCACAGTCCTGTCCCATGCAGTTCTTTTTTTTTTTTTTTTTTGAGACGGAGTCTCGCTCTGTCGCCCAGGCTGGAGTGCAGTGGCCGGATCTCAGCTCACTGCAAGCTCCGCCTCCCGGGTTCACGCCATTCTCCTGCCTCAGTCTCCCGAGTAGCTGGGACTACAGGCGCCCGCCACCTCGCCCGGCTAGTTTTTTTGTATTTTTTAGTAGAGATGGGGTTTCACCGTGTTAGCCAGGATGGTCTCGATCTCCTGACCTCGTGATCCGCCCGTCTCGGCCTCCCAAAGTGCTGGGATTACAGGCTTGAGCCACCGCGCCCGGCCCCCATGCAGTTCTTAGAAGACATTCATTTGCTTGACACAAAGATACAGGGAATCTACCAGGTGCCAGCCTTGTATGCCATGGGGACTCATCTGTGGGGAAGTGAAGGGTAGTGCCCAGGCTACCCTGGTCATACTATGGCAAGTCTGAATGTGAGGTTCAGGGAGGGGACAGCTAGGCCTAGCCCTCTTTCCTCTGATGCCACTGTCTCCCCCTGTCTTTCCCCCTCCAGGCCCTGAGCATTCCTCTGATTCAGAATATACTCTCTCAGAGCCGGACTCCGAAGAGGAAGAAGATGAGGAGGAGGAGGAAGAGGAGACCACTGACGATCCCGAATATGATCCTGGCTACAAGGTGAAGCAGCGCCTTGGCGGGGGCCGTGGTGGCCCATCCCGCCGGGCCCCCCGTGCAGCCCAGCCCCCGGGCCCCCCGGCTCAGCCTTGCCAGCTCTGTGGCCGCTCACCCCTTGGGGAGGCCCCACCGGGAACCCCACCCTGCCGGCTCTGCTGCCCTGCTACAGCCCCCCAGGAAGCACCAGCCCCTGAAGGCAGGGCACTCGGGGAGGAAGAGGAGGAACCACCTCGGGCTGGGGAGGGCCGACCAGCTGGGCGGGAGGAGGAGGAGGAAGAGGAGGAGGAGGGAACCTACCACTGTACGGAATGCGAGGATTCCTTCGACAACCTGGGGGAGCTGCACGGGCACTTCATGCTGCACGCCCGGGGTGAGGTGTAGGCAGAGCCCCCACACAGGGAGCTTGGCAGAAGGGGTGGGGTGGGAGGAGGGGGCCTGAGGAAATTCGGGTTGTGACAGTGGTCATGGGGGATGGGGTACTGCCGGTCTGTGTTGTCTTAGAAGTAGATGTGTGATGGCCAGAATAAAAGCCAAAATCTGTATCTGTGTGTGTTGGTTCAGACAGAGAGAGAGAGAGAGAGAGAGAGAGAGAGAGAGAGTGAGTGAGTGTGTGTGTGTGTGTATTTCCCCTGTGCTCCTTCTTGGGGAACCTCGGGGTCTTTTGGGAAAGATAACTAACATTTACTATGTGCTTGTATTTGATGGTATTTCCATAGGCTCTAACAATAGAATTTCATTTCTCACTCACAAAATAGTGCTGGGTGAGTCATTTGGGGACCCAGGCCATCCCTTAAGCCTGTTGTCCAGACTGGGTGGCTATGGCCTGGGTCCTGCCGACAGAAGAGGACAGGGAACCTGGTGAGGTGCACGTGTTGTCTTACAAGCCCTGGCCTGCCAGGGGCACACACTGGTTCCATTGACACGCCTCTGCTGAGAAATTAGATACGTGGCCACAGCTAACTGCAAAAACAACCTGGGAGAAGCAGTCTAGCCAAGCGCCCAGAAAGCAGAAAACGGTTTGTGGAGGACCGCTAGGGCTTTCTGCCACATCGCCTAGGAACTTCCACAAAGAGGACTTTAATTATAATCACAGCTACGCTTCCTCAGCGCTTCCTGGGTGTCTGGTGCCAGTCCAAGGGCTTTATATATATTGACTCATAGAAATGGTGCATCTAGGAACTTACAAAAATAGAACCTTAATGATAATTACAGCTGCCATTTTCTGAGCACTTACAGAGTGCTGCACTTAATTTGCATGAGATTATCAGCTTCTTAGAATAACCCTGGGAGATAGGGATTGTGATCCATTAATTCATTTAACAAATATTTTTGAGTACCTGCTGTGTGCTAAGCATTGGGAACACACCAGTGAATAAAATAAAATCGTTGTCCTCATGGAGCTTACATGGGAGTGGGTAGAGGCTGCTGGTGAAGACAGACATAAACAAGTAAGATACAGCATATGCTGGGTGCTGACAAATGCCGTGAGAACAATAAAGCACTGAAAGGAGGCCCGGCATGGTGGCTCACTCCTGAAATCCCAGCACTGAGGTGGGCGGATCGCTTGAGCGCAGGAGTTCGAGACCAGTCTGGGCAGCATGCCAAAACCCCATCTCTACAAAATACAGAAAATTATCTGGGCTAACAATGGTGCACGGCCATAGTCCCAGCTACTAGGGAGGCTTAGATGGGAGGATTGCTGGAGCCTGAGAAGTCAAGGCTGCAGTGAGTGGTGATCATGTCACTGCACTCCAGCCTGGGCAACAGTGAGAACCTGTCTCCAAAAAAAAAAAAAAAAAAAAAACTGGGCCGGGCGCGGTGGCTCAAGCCTGTAATCCCAGCACTTTGGGAGGCCTAGACGGGTGGATCACGAGGTCAAGAGATCGAGACTATCCTGGCTAACACGGTGAAACCCCGTCTCTACTAAAAAATACAAAAAACTAGCCGGGCGAGGTGGCGGGCACCTGTAGTCCCAGCTACTCGGGAGGCTGAGGCAGGAGAATGGCGTGAACCCGCCGGGAGGCGGAGCTTGCAGTGAGCTGAGATCCGGCCACTGCACTCCAGCCTGGGCGACAGAGCGAGACTCCGTCTCAAAAAAAAAAAAAAAAAACTGAAGGGAGGCCAGTGGCTCACGCCTATAATTCCAGCACTTTGGGAGGCTGAGGTGGGAAGATTCTTGAGGCCAGGAGTTGAAGACCAGCCTGGGCAACACAGTGGGATCCCATCTACAAAAAATTAAATTAGCAGGGCATGGTGGTGCATGCCTATGGTCCCAGCTAGCTATTCAGGAAGCTGAGGTGGGAAGACTGCTTGAGCCTTGGAGGTTGAGGCTGCAGTGACCTGTGATTATGCCACTGCTCACTGCACTCTAGCCTGGATGATGGCAAGAATTTGTCCCAACAAAAATTTTTAAAAAGGACTGAAGGGAGAACTGTTCTGGAAGGAGGCTGCAGTTTTAAAGAGTGTAGTCCTCCCTGAGAAGGCGACAGATCTGAAGCCAGGGGGAGCCATGTACATCAATGTGGAAGAACACTCCAGGCCAGAGGAGCCTGCCTGGTGTGCCAAGGAGGCCAGAGCTGTAGGGATGAATCCAAGGGTGGCAGAGGATCAGCTCTTTACAGCCTTGCCAAAACTTGGGCTTGGGCTCTGAGATGGGAAGTATAATTCATAATTCACAGAAGCTTGGCACCGAAGCTACTTTGAAAATAGAAGCCTAATTATAATAATAGCTATCATTAACGGAGAATTTACTGGGCAACCAGCCCTGTTCTAAGGCGCTTTACATGTGTTAACTCATAGAAGGTTAGAAACTAAGAACCTTCAAGAATAGAACCTGAATTACTGTAATGGCCATCATTAAGTCAGCGCTCACAGTGGACCAGGCCCTGGACTCAGTGCTTTATGTGGACAATCGCATCAGATGCTTACAAGGTAGGGACTGTTATTTATTTACTCATTCACCCAACAATGATTTATTGAGCACCTATGAGATGGCAGGCACTGCTCTGGGAGTTGGAAATATAGCAGTGAACACGATGAACAAAAACCCCCTCCCGGCTGGGTGCGGTGGCTCACTCCTGTAATGCCAGCACTTTGGGAGGCCGAGACGGGCGGATCATGAGGTCAGGAGATTGAGACCATCCTGGCTAACACAGTGAAACCCCGTCTCTACTAAAGAATACACAAAATTAGCCCGGCGTAGTGGCTAGCGCCTATAGTCCCAGCTACTCAGGAGGCTGAGGCAGGAGAATGGCATGAACCCAGAAGGCAGAGGTTGCAGTGAGCCGAGATTGCGCCACTGCACTCCAGCCTGGGCGACAGACCGAGACTCCGTCTCAAAAAAAAAAAAAAAACCACCCTCCCTTTGTGGAGGTTATAATGGGGAAGACAGTAATCAAGTGTTTAAGTAAAATATACAAATTGTATGGAATGTTAGATAGTCATAAGTGCTATGGAGAAAAGAACAGGGTGGGAAGCTTGTGTGTGTGAAGGTTACAGTTTTAAGTAGGATGGTCAGGGAAGGCTTCACTGAGGTGGCATCAGAGCAGAGACCTAGAGAAGGGGCAGGAGTGAGCCTTGTGGCTGTCTGGGGACAGTAAGTGCAATGGCCTGAGGTGGGAGCCCACTTGGGGTGCTTGGGAAGAAGACACAGGGCCACGAGGCTGGAACTGAGGAAGACAGGAGGTGAAGTCAGAAAGTAGCAGAGCCGGGCGCGGTGGCTCAAGCCTGTAATCCCAGCACTTTGGGAGGCCGAGGCGGGCGGATCACAAGGTCAGGAGATCGAGACCACAGTGAAACCCCGTCTCTACTAAAAATACAAAAAATTAGCCGGGCGCGGTGGCGGGCGCCTGTAGTCCCAGCTACTCAGGAGGCTGAGGCAGGAGAATGGCGGGAACCCGGGAGGCGGAGCTTGCAGTGAGCCGAGATCGCGCCACTGCACTCCAGCCTGGGCAACAGCGTGAGACTCCGTCTCCAAAAAAAAAAAAAAAAAAAAAAAAAGAAAGTAGCAGAGAATCAGGCCATAGGGACCATATACTGACTTTGGCATTCTCTCTGAGTCTTGAGTCCTCTGAGTAATCTGAGTGCTCATAATAATCTTTAGAGGCTACTTTTATGACCATTTTATAACTGCTACAACAGGCCAGGCATGGTTGCTCACGCCTGTAATCTCAGCACCTTGGGAGGCCAAGGCGGGTGGATTGCCTGAGGTTGGAGTTCGAGACCAGCCTGGCCAACAAGGTGAAACCCCATCTCTACTAAAAATACAAAAATTTAGCTGGGTGTGGTGGCGTGTGCCTGTTGTCCCAGCTACTTGGGAGACTGAGGCAGGAGAATCGCTTGTACCTGGGAGGCGGAGGTTGCAGTGAGCCCAGATCGCACCACTGCACTCCAGCCTGGGCAACAGAGCAAGACTCTGTCTCAAAAAAAAAAAGAGAGACCAGGCATGGTGGGTCACACCTGTAATCCCAGCACTTTGGGAGGCTGAGGCGGGTGGATCACCTGAGGTCAGGAGTTTGAGACCAGCCTGACCAAGATGGGGAAACCCCATCTCTACTAAAAATACAAAATTAGCCGGGCATGGTGGCACATGCCTGTAATCCCAGCTACTCGGGAGGCTGAGGCAGCAGAATCGCTTGAACCCAGGAGGCGGAGACTGCGGTGAGCTGAGGTCATGCCACTGCACTCCAGCCTGGGCTGGAAACTCCCAACTCAACAACAAAACAAAAACAAACAAACAAACTGCTACAACAGAGGCACAGAGAGGTTGAGTTACCTGCCAGAGGTCACGGAGCCAGTAAGCTGCAGAGCCCTGGTTTGTACCCAGACAACTGGATGCAGGCGCATCCACTCTTAATCACCAAGCCACACACTAGAAATGACAGTCTAGTGCCCACAGCCACCATCCGACTTCCAGGAGTGTATCTGGTCTCCACCGAGCTATTGAGTTTTTTTTAAGTTACGTTGGTTACCAATGTTGAAAAATGGGTAATTTCACATTTAAAAAATTGAAGTTTCTGGACTGTCTTGAAAATTCTAAGATCTGTATTGCTGAATCCCCGATCCCATGGGGACAGTAGTTTGTTGGTGCTGAGTAGGAGTCACTTTCTGGAGGGGAGGCATTCACTCTTATGTGCCCGGTCACCACTGTCTCACATCTGGACACCCCAATCCTGCCTGCTTGGCCCTGAAGAGCATCTGTTTTTTTTTTAAATGTTGGGTTTTTGTTGTTGTTGGTTTTTTTGTGATGGAGACTCACTCTGTCACCCAGGCTGGAGTGTAGTGGCGTGATCTCGGCTAACTGCAGCCTCTGTATTCTGGGTTCAAGAGATTCTCGTGCCTCAGCCTCCTGAGTAGCTGGGACCACAGGCACGGCACTACTACCCCCGGCTAATTTTTGTATTTTTAGTAGAGATGGGGTTTCACCATGTTGGTCAGGCTGGTCTCAAACTCCTGACCTCAAATGATCCACCAGCCTTGGCCTCCCAAAGTGCTGGGATTACAGGTGTGAGCCACCATGTCCGGCCAACATTTGCATTTTTGACACCTATTACAGGATTTCAGACCAAAGCATTTTTCAAAACCCACATTTCTTATCCCAGAATCTCCAAACCTGACATTGATCCACGCTGAACTGACTTTCTTAGCCACTATAGCTTCGCATCATGGAAGCTCAGAATCATCAGCAGAAATTCCGGGCTCGTTAAAACAACAGTGTCTCAGTCCTTTTGTGTGGCTGTAACGTAATACCTGAGACTGGGTAATTCATAAAGAACAAAGGTTAATTCCTCTAGTTCTGGAGACTGGGAAGTTCCAGGTCGGAACCAACAGATTTGGTGTCTTATTAAGGGTTGCTCTCTGCTTCCAAGTTGGTGCCTTCTTGCTGCATCCTTACACAGTGGAAGGTGGCAAAAAGGGACGAACGCTGTGTCCTCAGATGGTAGGAGAGATGGAAGGGGAGAAGGCCTAGCTACTTCCCTTGGGTCCTTTTATAAGGGCACTTATCTTGTTCATGAGGGCAGAGCCCTTATGACTCCGCAGTCTCCTAAAGGCCCCACATCTGAATACTATCACATGGGGTCTTAGGTTCCCAACATATGAATATTAGGGGGACACAGACATTTAACCATAGCATATGGATAAGTGTGATCATAGGTTTTATTTTCTGGAGCAGCACCCCATCCTGTCTTCTGCTGTAAGACAGGATTTCTAAGGACAGATACAGAGAATTTCCATCATTGGCAAATATTCCTAAGGATCACAAGAGACACTATAAATCAGGAGTTGGGTCGTTCAGCCAGCATCCATTCAGGATATGGAATCAGGCCAGGCATTTCCCAAAGAGGATTTAATACAGGGAATAGTTACACAGGTGTTAGAAGGCTGAAAGTCAGCCAGACAACGGGGGCTCACGCCTGTAATCCTAGCACTTTGGGAGATCGAGGTGGGCGGATTGTTTGAGCTCAGGAGTTCAAGACCAGCCTAAACAACGTGGTGAAACCCCGTCTCTACAAAAAATTAGCTGTTCATAGTAGTGCACACCCGTAGTCTCAGCTATAGGGAGGGAGGCGGAGGTGGGAGGATCATCTGAGCCCGAGGAGGTCAAGGCTGCAGTGAGCCGAGATTTTGCAACTGCACTCTATCCTGAGCTACACAGTGAGACCCTGTCTCAAAAAAAATGAAGGCCAGGTGCAGTGGCTCACACCTATAATCCCAGCACTTTGGGAGGCCCAGGTGGGCGGATCACTGGAGGCCAGGAGTCTGAGATCAGCCTGAGCAACATAGTGAAACCTCGTCTCTATTAAAAATACAAAAATTAGCCAGTTGTAGTGGTGCACACCTGTAATCCCAGCTACTCGGGAGGCTGGGGCTGGAAAATTGCCTGAACCCAGGAGGCGGAGGCTTCAGTGAGCCGAGATCACGCCACTGCACTCCAGCCTGGGAGACAGAGCAAGACTCAAAAGAATTTAAAAGAGTGCACAGTTTTTTACTAACATGATGGCAGTGGTGCAGGTCGGGCCACAGGAGTCATGTTGACCTATTTTAAGTTTGAGATCTCCATTTGTTTATTCAAATGGTTGTATCTTATGTCTGGGGTTTGGGCTGCAGATAAAAATGTGGAAGTCATCAGTGATGCTATTTAGAGAATCTGTGACGTCTGGAGAGAACAGGAAGCCCAGAGTGTACTTGGGCAGGCTGCTATCTTGGGAGAGCATGTGGGATTAGATCCTTAGGTTTGGGTTTAGGGGAGCCACTGTGGGGGTAGTGTGAAAATATCCGGGTTGGAAACTTCTGAGCGTTCACCAGGAGCCAGAGGAAATATCTGGCTCTTCATGAAGTTGGTATCTTGAAAAAAACTGATGGTCTACTAACTCCAACCAGTCTCCCTATAAGTCACCCCAGCAAAGAGATCCAGGGTAGCCCTGTCCCAAAACACACACACACACCCTACCTACCTACTTGGTAAAGGTAGTGGTTCCCAGGATCGAAATTTCTGCTTCCAGACTCAGAGTAGGTTGAATGTCTTATTAGACCAGGGGTTGGCAAACTTCTCCTGCAAAGGGCTAGATGGTAACTATTTTAAGTTTTGGAAACCATAAGATCTCTGATGCAACTATGCAGATCTGCTGTTCTAGGCAAAAGTAGCCATCAACAATACATAAGTGAATGAGTATAAAACTGTGTTCAAATAAAATTTTATTTGCAAAATCAGGCAGCAGGCTAGAGTTGGCCATAGTTTGCAGACCCCTGTCTTAGGCTGTAAATTCTGTTGCACGTGACAGAAACCCAGAATAATGATGGCTTAAATTAGAAGTTTCTTTCTTTCTTAGATAGCAATATGGAAGTGGGCTGGTATGGTGGCTGTGCTCCCTGAAATTGACCAGAGACCCAGGCTCCTGCTGTCTTGTTGCTCTGCCATCCCATGTGTCGTTCTTGTCCTTATGGTCTGAGATGGCTGGATACTATGTCTGTATTACAGTTAGGAAGGTGGAAAAAAGGTATGTCCCTTTCTTTTCTTTTTTTTAAAAAACAGTCTCACTCTGTCACCCAGGCTGAAGTGCAGTGGCATGATCTTGACTCACTGCAGCCTGTCTCCCAAATTCAAGCAATTCTCCTGCCTCAGCCTCCCAAGTAGCTGGGGTTACAGGTGTATGCCACCACACCTGACTAATTTTTGTATTTTTAGTAGAGATGGGGTTTCACCATGTTGGCCAGGCTAGTCTCAAACTCCTGACCTCAGGTGATCCACCAGCCTCAGCCTCACAGAGTGCTGGGATTACAGGTGTAAGCCACTGTGCCCCGCCGTCCCTTTCTTAAGCTTGAGTGTTCTACCCAGGAATTTAGCCAGAATCAGTCACATGGCTACATCTAGCTGCGAAGGAATCTGGGAAATGTAGTCTTTTCAGCTACCATGTGCCTAGCTAAAAACTGAGAGACAGTGATCAGTCTACCACATCCACCTCACCTGGGCTTTAAAAACATCCCTCAACATAAACAGAGTCTATAAGTATTATATGCAGGGCATTGACCATTGTCTGCAAGTGCAGGGCAGGTAACTAAGGGGGTAAAACTGGCCTGATGGGACTCATCTCCAGTTGAGGATGACACCCACTGTTCCCCTCCAGCCTGTTGTAGCTTCTGCCCTGCCCCTGCTGACAATGTCACCCTAGGTTGGGCCTTTCAAGAGAGCTGAAAATAGGATCTTAATGGGAAATCTCCCAGTGTTGGCCAAATAAAATCCGAAACAGAAGGTATCTCTGTTTGATTCCAAACCAGTTTCCCCACAAAGCAAGGCCAACTCTGGCCTGAGTTCCCCCACCTGCCCACACCCTTATGTTCTCTGGAAATTCCCACTCAAAAGCCAGAGCTCCCTGTTTAGACATTTTAATATGGATGTTTTCTGTTTTTAGATACTATTCCTGTTAGCTTATTCATACCATTTCACCTACACATATGAAAAAATATTTCATGACCAGAATGATATACAAAATTATTTAAATGAGACATAAATTATCGGGGGACTAGTGCCATCTAGTGCCATGGCCCCTCTGAGTGAGGTTGGCAGGGGGTGGGAAAGAGACACAAGGACTCCAATTGCCACCCCACTCAATTGGGGTCCAGCTCCCAACTGTGCTGCCCCATCCCCAAAAGCCCAAGTTGCTCCACATCTGGAACTCATCTGGTGGCATTACAGGCCAGCAACACCTCACCTTCCCTGCCCCCATTCAGGCAAAGGTCCAGGGCATTTTGCTTCCATTGCCCATGGCATCCATCTGGGAAGAATGAAGGGTGATGACACAGTCTGCAGCTAGGTGTTTAACTGGGAATAAGGGAGACACAAACCATTTCTCTCCCGCACTCCATTCCCATTTTTTTTTTTTAACGAAAGATCTCGTTATTGTCTGATTTCACTGTCTCACGAAGGCCCTGTGTCCTCCAAAGACTGAAGCTCTAAATGAGAATCTTCTGGGTCCTCTTTATTAGGAGCCCTCTGCCTTCCCAGGGGAGGGAAGCAAATCCCTCAGGGCCCCCGGAATTCCTGCACCCCGTATCATGGGTGAGTCCTACTGGCCACAGAGCCACCTGTCACCACGGAGACGCTTAAGCTGCACTCAGAGCTCCCCTCGGGCATGCCGAATGTAGTGTTGATGCAGCCCTGCTTCCTGAGCAAAGTCCTGACCGCACTCTGTACAGGCGAAGGTGCCAGGAGGGGCACGGGCCTCATGCATCTGGCGGTGCCGCCTCAGAGAAGCAGCCTGCCCAAAGGTCTTGCCACAGTCAGGACAAGGGAAGGTGGGCTGGGCAGTAGTGGTTGCAACCAGTGGGGTGGGCTTGGCGGCTGGACCGTGGCTGCGCTGGTGGGTGATTAAGGCTTTGGAGGAGGGGAAGGAGCGGGCGCAGGTGAAGCAGATGAAGAGGACCCCCTGCAGCTTCTGGGCCACGAAGTCCGCTGGGTGCTCCCGCTTCATGTGACGCTCCTGGAACTTGGAATCTGCGAAGGTGATGAGGCAGCGGGTGCACTTCGGGGCCCCCAGGTGGCCTGAGAGATGTGCGGAGAGGTCAGGGGAGGCCGGCAGGAGTCTCCAGGACCTCTCCTGAACCCCAGAATCATACCAACAATTAACATTGAGTGTGCTATGTGCTCGGTTCTATGCTAATGCTGGACAACCAAACAGGAGAACTGTTCTTGGACCTATTTTATGGATGAGCAAACTGAGATTCAAAGAGATTAGGCAAGTTGCCCATAGTCAATGAGGCTAGGAAAGGAAATGGTGGAGTCAGGGTTGGAACCCAGAGAGTCAGCCTGCCCAACAGAGGGGTATGGTGATTACAGCACAGCCTTTGGAGCCAGACTGCCTGGGATTGAATCTCAGCTCCACCACTTCCTAGGCAATTACACCAGTTTCCTTATCTGGAAAATGGGCTAATAACAGTATCTACTCCATAGGACTGTTGGAAGGAATAAATGAATTGCTGTACAGTCATTTGCAATTATGACTAATGATAACAGAGAAATCCAGCCCGACATCCAGGATATGGCCTGGTACTCACAGCTAGACCTTGGTGTTCTGTTGAACATAAATTTTCACAAAATATCAAGGACAGACAAGGTCATGCTGTGACTAGAATGAATCAAGACAAGACTATATCATAATAATGTCTGAGCACAGACAAAATATGAATGCTGTCCAAGCAGAAAAATGACCAAACATCCTCCTATCCTGGCTCATGTGAATGTCTGCTGCTACTTTATCAGTCAGAGCTTGAGCCTTGCCTTCTTCCTTCCTCCTTCTGGATAAGATTTATTACGATAGGCCGGGCGCGGTGGCTCAAGCCTGTAATCCCAGCACTTTGGGAGGCCGAGACGGGCGGATCACTAGGTCAGGAGATCGAGACCATCCTGGCGAACACGGTGAAACCCCGTCTCTACTAAAAAATACAAAAAACTAGCCGGGCGAGGCGGCGGGCGCCTGTAGTCCCAGCTACTCGGGAGGCTGAGGCAGGAGAATGGCGTAAAACCCGGGGGGCGGAGCTTGCAGTGAGCTGAGATCCAGCCACTGCACTCCAGCCCGGGCGACAGAGCCAGACTCTGTCTCAAAAAAAAAAAAAAAAAAAAAAAAAAAAGATTTATTACGATAGCCAATCATAGAATTGCCCCTGCTTCCTGGTAGCATCCAATCCACAGCAAAACAATTTTGCTCGCACATTCCCCAAAATCACCACCCACAAGCCCAAATCCTATGTCGTTTTTACCACTCTTAGTGAGACACCCCACAGTTCCCCCATGGTGTGTGTTCTTCATTGCAGCGAGAAATAAACCCAACGTGTTCAACTGCACGTGTGTTTCCGGTAATCTCAGGCTCAAGGGCATTGAGACTACAGCTCTTGTTACAAATACCTCTCTCTGCCTCAGTTCCCAGTTTAAAGGGCCTATTATTAGAAGGACTGAATGAGATAATGAATGTTAAAATCGTTCATAATATGAGAATAAGTACACCTAGCTCATAATAAAACAGCAGGAGGTGTTGCTATTACATGGCAAACTGGCTACCATCATTAACCCCTGGCTTTCCCCTTTGCTGCAGTTAATCCCATAACCACCCTGTGAGGTGGATAGTGCCACCCTCTTTTGACAGTCAGGGAAACCAAGGCTCAAGTTACACTGAAAGTCTAGGACACAGGTGGGACCAGAATCTTGGGGCTTTTCTCCCAATAGAACCATTCCCAGCCACGTCTCCAACCCAAGCCTCTCTTGGAAGCCACCCTATCCCTCTGAATGCATAAGCGTTGCAATCCTGCTTATGTGGCCAGAGGAGGGTGAGTACTCTGGCCACATAAGCCGGTGTGAGGAGATGCACTTCCTGCTAGGGCAGCTCAGGGACCATTACAGCCCCTTCTCAACAGGCAAAACTCTGTGGCGCCTTGGACACTGAAGTGCCACAGAGATCTTCTTAGCATCAGCTCCTGCACCCCGCCCTCCTCTAGCCAGCCAGCCATGTGTACTCACAGATGTTGCCTCCTGGGCTCTGGGGACTTCTCTCCTTGGGTGAATCCTGCTGCTTCATGTTCTCTTCAGAGTTCGGGTCCTCCATGGTGCTGGGACCCTTCTAGTCAGGAGAGGAGCGTGCATGAGTGAAGCTGTTCATCTGTTACCAGTCTTAGAGGGCACCCTAAGTCTATGACCTTTGACATCGCCATAGGCTCTCCTTGCCTGCTTTTGACCCTTACGACATACTATCTCCTTGAACTCTAATTGATGGAGTTCTTGCTAAGAGAAGCTTCAAACCTCCCAAAAGACTTCCTGGGTTTGGGACTCAAGAGTCTTTTCACTGGTGTGACCTATGACCTGCTGCATCAAACTAACTCCCTGAACTCAGCGTGGGAGTCTTGATCTTTGACACCAGCGTCATCCCAGTCTCAAGTATCTTGGGGCAGGTAGTGATACCCACCCTTTATTCCAGTTCTTCCCGGGAAACATCCTCTGACATCCTGTGATTTTTGTTCCGCCCAGAGCCCCCGCCTCCCACGCGCACTAGCAGCTGCTATCCCGCTACCCTCAAGCGCTGCCTACAGGTTCCTGCTCCCAGGCCTCAGTTTTCCTCCGTACAGCAGAGGGCTGCCTTTCGCTGCGCCTGTCAGTCGCTAGCTACAGCCCCGCCACCCAGAGAGAAGTGGGATAGCCCACTCAGTCTCAGGGCCCCCGTGGTTTCCGCGCCCTTTTGCCAGATGAGCCTCTCGGAGCCGAGATCCCGGATTTGGCATCCGGCAGTAGTATAGTCGCACCAGTCCGGTCCTCAAAATAACGGGAGGGGTCCTTCTCTGCACTATGGTGCGTTATGATGACGTTCACCCTCCCGCGGCGTAGGTACCGAAGCTTTTTGCGCAAGTCTGGGTAGGTGCTCGTGGTGCGCAGGCGCGTTGACTCCTTCATTGTTCGAGGCCCCGAGGCCGCCGAACAGGGGCGTGAGCACTTCGGCCGTTCTGCGCAGGCGCTGCGAAGGGCTAGGTCTCTGCGGTAGCGCTTCCAAGACACACCCCCTTGGAAGAGGGAGTGACGTCAGGTTAAAGCTACTGGGACGCGTCCCGGCATCTTTAAATCACCGCGCCCTGGCCTCTTCGGCCTCCGTCCGCTGCGGCCGAGGGGTCGGGCTTCTCAGTTGCTGACCCACCGCCACCGACTGCGCTCATCCCGTGGGTCTGCTTTTTGCTCGGTTTGTGATGTGGAAGGGGGAAGGGGAAGGATAAAAATAACAATGCGTCCGAGGGAGGAGGGACTGGAAGCCAGATTTCTGAGGTTTTATTTTTATTTATTTATTTTTGAGAGAGTGTCTTGCTCTGTCGCCTGGGCTGGAGTGCGGTGGTGTGATCACTGCCCACTGCAGCCTGCAACTCCTGGGCTCAAGCGATCCTACCGCCGCAGCCTTCCGGGTAGCTGGGGCTACCGGCGCACGCCACCATGGCCCGGCTAAATTTTATTTTTTGTGGAGACGGAGACTCTACCAGAGAGTCCCACATGTTGGCCAGGCTGGTCTCGAATTCCTGGCCTCAAGCGATCCTCCCGCCTCGGCCTCCCAAAGCACTGGGATTACAGGCATGAGCCACCGCGCCTGATTTCAGAGTTTTTGAAGCAGAAAGGGAAACGTTTCCATCTAGAAAGAGGGCGGACAGACAGGGCGCCTGGAATCCCTGGGGAATAGGGTCTGGGCTCTGGATTTTTTAGGTCCTGGAGAGAGACACTCAAGAACCGAAGGGGACCGGGGGGAGGACTGAGGCCTTTGTTCCGAGTGGTGCGGCTAGGAAAGGAAAAGGCTAGGTGCTCCCTGACCCAGGTCTTCTCCACCCGTTGCTTTCCAGCCATGCCTCCGCCGCAGGGTGACGTGACCGCCTTGTTCCTGGGGCCTCCTGGCTTGGGGAAGTCCGCGCTGATCGCGGCGCTGTGCGACAAGGATGTGGAGACGCTCGAGGCCCCCGAGGGACGGCCGGACTCCGGGGTTCCCAGCCTAAGAGCTGCGGGCCCAGGCCTTTTTCTGGGCGAGCTGAGCTGCCCACCTGCAACGCCGGGGCCCTGGGCGGCTGAAGCCAACGTGCTGGTACTGGTGCTGCCCGGACCCGAGGGGAACGGGGAACCCTTGGCTGCAGCCCTGGGAGAGGCAGCGCGGGCCGCCCTGGCCCGAGGGACCCCGCTACTGGCTGTGCGGAACCTCCGTCCTGGGGATTCACAGACTGCGGCCCAGGCCCGTGATCAGACAGCAGCTCTGCTGAACAGCGCGGGGTTGGGAGCTGCGGATCTGTTTGTGCTACCGGCGAACTGCGGCAGCAGCGACGGCTGCGAGGAGCTAGAGCGCCTCCGGGCGGCGCTGCAGAGCCAGGCAGAAGCGCTGCGGAGGTGAGTGCTTTCTGGCTTGGTCCCTTAGTTGAGACCCTGCACACCTAGGTCCTATTTGAGATCCATGAGATCCCTTCCCCAGTGAGTTTGGGGCAAAGAGCTTAGCTCTATTATTATTATTTTTTTCCCAAGGGACAGGGTCTCGCTACGTTGACTAGGTTGAATTTGAACTCCTGGCCTTAAGCAATAATCCCGCCTCAGCTTCCCAAAGTGCTAGGATTACAGGCGTGAACCACCACACCCGGCCTTTTTTTTTTTTTGAGACAGGGTCTCACTCTATCGCCCAGGCTGGAGTGCAGTGCTGCTATCCTAGCTCACTGAGGGCCTCCACCTCCTGGACTCAAATGATCCTCCTGCCTCAGCCTCCAGAGTAGCTAATAGGACAGGCTGCAAAACAGGATCTCACTGTTTCCCCAGGCTGGTCTTAAATTCTTGGCCTCAAGCCATGCCCCCACCCAGGCTTCCCAAAGCCCTAGGATTAAAAGGGAAAATCTTAACACTTTATCTGCTGGGGCCCTGAGGCTCCTTTTTCTAGGCCCTGCCCCAAGCAAGGTGATCCGCCCTCCCTGGCCTCCCAAAGTGCTGGGATTATAGGCGTGAGGCACTTTGCCCAGCCCCCTGGAAGATTTTACCTGAAAACTCTAATCCTTGAGCCCTCCCCACCATCAGTTTGGTTTTCAAGTGACCTAAAGCCACACCAGCAATGAGGATCTTGGGGCATCCTCATCCACCTCCTTTCTCCAGCTCCCTCTCGTTTCTGTGCCCACTTGCTGGCTACCTCCTGAATTTGCTCTACCACCTGCCAGCCTCCTCATTTTACAGACTTTAAAATGAGGCTCAGAGAGGGACAGTCCCTTGTCCTAGTACACTATCATCTTTTTTCCTTAGCCTCACCTGGTGGGGAGTCACCTTAGCCACTCCCCCTTGGTAAGAACTAGTAGATGAAATTTCTCCCCTCACTGACCCTCCTTAGGCCCAGCCTCTGAAAAGAGTGCCTTGGCGACCTTGTCTGTCTCAAATAGTGCTGGACTTGTGTTTAGGCCACAATACAGTTGCGATTCTTTGTTCTAGGCCCCACCCTCTCTGAGTTTTGTCCCACCCAGCACAGCCGACCCTTGGAAAAGCCCCGCCCCCAAATACTGTATTCCATGGAAGTCTTAGCCCAATCCCCATTTTAGGCTAGAGTGGGAAACCTGCCCTTAAGTCCACCTGTTCAATAATCAAGACTCCATTATTGCTTGAAGCCCCGCCCATATCATCATGGCCCCTCCCCATCTGGTTTCTGTTTGCCTTGCCGTCAGTCTGGCCTTTCCCTTTCCTATCCCTGCCCCATTCTGGGATCATTAGGAAAGCTCCGCCCTTGTCATTCATAGCCCAGTCCATGTCACCCAGCCCCTCTTCTGCCTTTTACCCTGACCCTTCTTGTCCCCACAGGCTCCTGCCCCCGGCCCAGGATGGCTTCGAGGTGCTGGGTGCAGCAGAGCTGGAGGCTGTGCGTGAGGCCTTTGAGACCGGCGGCCTGGAGGCTGCGCTGTCGTGGGTGCGCTCAGGCCTGGAGCGCCTGGGCAGTGCACGGCTAGACTTGGCCGTGGCCGGCAAGGCTGACGTGGGCCTTGTGGTGGACATGCTGCTTGGATTGGATCCTGGCGACCCAGGTGCTGCGCCTGCTTCGGCGCCCACGGGGCCCACTCCCTTCCCGGCCCCAGAGCGCCCGAATGTGGTGCTCTGGACTGTGCCTCTGGGTCCCACGGGCACTGCCACCACCGCGGCCGCAGCCTCTCACCCAACGCACTACGACGCCCTCATCCTCGTCACCCCTGGGGCCCCCACTGAGAAGGACTGGGCCCAGGTCCAGGCCTTGGTGCTACCAGATGCGCCTCTTGTCTGCGTGCGCACAGACGGCGAGGGCGAGGATCCGGAGTATTTGGGAGAAGGAAAGATGGAGAAACCCAACGGCGAGAGCTTAAAGAACGCAGGCGGAGGGGGATTGGAGAATGCACTCAGTAAGGGAAGGGAGAAATGTAGCGCTGGATCGCAGAAAGCAGGCAGCGGGGAAGGTCCTGAGAAAGCTGGCAGCGAGGGTTTGCAGCAGGTTGTCGGCATGAAGAAATCAGGTGGTGGCGACTCAGAGCGGGCCGCCGTGTTAAGCCCGGAGGACGAGACGTGGGAGGTGTTGGAGGAGGCACCGCCGCCAGTGTTCCCCCTACGGCCTGGTGGACTCCCAGGGCTATGCGAATGGCTGCGGCAAGCGCTCCCCCCAGCCCAGGCAGGGGCGCTGCTGCTGGCACTGCCACCAGCATCTCCCAGCGCTGCCCGAACCAAGGCTGCGGCGTTGCGGGCCGGGGCGTGGAGGCCAGCTCTGCTGGCTAGTCTGGCAGCGGCGGCGGCACCACTCCCAGGGCTGGGCTGGGCATGCGACGTGGCACTTCTGCGGGGTCAGCTGGCGGAGTGGCGACGGGGCCTGGGACTGGAACCCGCGGCACTGGCTCGACGTGAGCGTGCCCTGGGCCTGGCTCCTGGGGAGCTGGCAGCGCGCGCTCATTTCCCAGGCCCGGTGACGCGCGCCGAGGTCGAAGCAAGGCTGGGCGCCTGGGCGGGCGAGGGCACTGCTGGGGGCGCAGCACTGGGTGCTCTCTCCTTCCTGTGGCCTGCGGGTGGCGCAGCGGCGACAGGTGGCCTGGGCTACCGAGCGGCTCACGGCGTACTGCTGCAGGCTCTGGATGAGATGCGGGCTGATGCTGAGGCTGTACTGGCACCCCCTGAGTCTGCCCAGTGAGAGGTGGGAGGGGGCTTGAGGGTCCAGACTGTGGCAGGGGATGCCTGGGCTTAATCCTGGGTGCTTGAAAGGGATGTGGACTCTGATTTCTAGCAGGGATGTGTGACTTCTCATCACCTGGATTCAGAGAGTCTGGGGGACAGGAATCCTAATTTCTTTTTTTTTTTTTCTTTTTTTTTTTTTTTGAAACGAAGTCTCTTGTTGCCCAGGCTGGAGTGCAATGGCGCGATCTCGGCTCACTGCAACCTCTCCCTCCCAGGTTCAAGCGATTCTCCTGCCTCAGCGTCCGGAGTAGCTGGATTTACAGGTGCCTGCCACCAAGCCTGGCTAATTTTTGTATTTTTAGTAGCCTGTTGGCCAGGCTGCCCTTGAATTCCTGACCTCAGGCGATCCACCCGCCCGGGCCTCCCAAAGTGCTAGGATTACAGGCGTGAGCCACCGTGCCCTGCCAGGAATCCTGATTTCTTTGGGAACCATGGTGCATGACATCCAGACCCTTCTGTCCTGAAGGAAGTTGGTGGCCCAGAGTCTAGCAGAGACTATGTCTTTGTCTCCTAGGGAGTAGAAACTGGAGTTACTGGATGTTTAGTCCTCCAGGGGAGGGGAGAAGTCCTGTTTCCTAATTGGTGGGGAGGTGTCCATGACTGGT